CCATCCCCTTGATGACCATCCCTTGTCGCTCTTCCCGCAGGTCGCATCTCCAACGGACACGAGCAACTTCGACAGCTTCCCGGAGGACAGTGACGAGCCACCCCCTGACGACAACTCAGGATGGGACATAGATTTTTAAATGTCTTTCTCTTACCTGCTTCTGCCTTGCTGAGGACAGCTTTCCTGGGACGTGGCTGCCAGCGAAACCAAGAGAACGGAACTGGGGAGGATTCGTGCTCGGGGTCACCATGATGCCTTGAATGATGCTGCTACAGGAACTCCAGTGGCATTAGGACTTACTGCTTAGATGACAATAGTGCTCTTCATGTTTTCTGTTCGAACACAACCTGGGGGTTGACATGGTGGTCCTGACACAGAGCCTTTCACCGGTAGAGAAACATGTTTTCTGTCACTGCGGAGGTCTTGCTACGCTCTTAATTATCAAGGTCAGGAGATACATTGTGTAAGACACACCCAATTGTAGCTGCGAGGTACTGGCTTTATCAGTAGGATCAGTAGTAATTTATTCAGTGCTGTAGCCAAATACAGTGCAGGATTTGGGCTATTCCCACCCTCACAGCTCCGTAGGGCTCCCTCCCAGTGTCGGAGCGGAGGAGGCCACGGCGGGCCCAGCCAAAGAGTTCATGTCAAAGCAGTGGTGAAATGTGTCCTTCTCCTTTCTGAGCAGAACCACGACAAGACTGAATGTTACCTTTCCTCTTTGATTTGGAGAGTTTTTTTTTTGTTGAGCCTGGTAGAACAAAAGCACAACTGCTCGAGATCCTGTGAAGGCAGATATGGGTCATTTCTCTCACGCTGCAACACCACCTTTGGGGTTTGTTTTTTCCTTTCCCTTGGTGCAAATACATCCCTGCATGAAAACAAAAATCACGAAACTAATCCGTTTGACATATAAAACAGTGCTTGGATCACGGTCCTGTAACAAGGCGACAGCAGCCCACTGGCCTTGTCCATTTAGGCATAAAATTAAGCTCGACTTTGACCTCTTTAGAACCCAAAGGGAAAACATAAGACCTGTAATGTCCTTTTTAGGTGCTATGTCCATCCCTCACCTGGTCACTCAACCACCTTTTGAGAGATATGTAGCAAGAGGCTTCGTTCTCCGTCGCTCTTGGATGATCCCACGTCTCCATGTCTCCATCTCCTCCGTGTTTAGTACAGAGCTCATTAAAAGCCAAGTACTGGGCCAGTTTGCTGGCTCTGGTGTAATACTGCCTGTAAAAATGGAATCCTGATGCCTCTCCAGGCTAAGGAAAGTCCATGGAATTAAATGGAAAGGCGATATTGGATGTATTTGTGCAAGGTCTCCATGTCGCCGGCGCGAGTTCCCCGATGATCATGTTTAGGGCACTGTAACGGCCACAACCATCATGTGGAAAAACAGCCTGGGGAAAACAGTATCAGGATATGCTTTTCCCTGACTTCCACTGCTTTTCCTTTGCTTGAATACAGTCTCCTCTGATTTATAGGCCGTAATTCTGTCCTGGATGCCCGTCTGTTGACTTCAACTATCCCGTTATCCAACAAAACCCATCAGGTTTTGGTCTCTCTAGGACCGAAAAAAATCATGGTATCATAGAATAATGGAATGGTTTGGATTGGAAGGGACTCTAAAGACCCTGTCATTCCAAGCCCTGCCATGGGTGAGCAGGTTCTGCCCTGTTTCATCTCAGCGCTGCCCAGAGCTGAGAGTGGGGAGATCAGCTCTTGCTGAGAAGGACTTTTGCCCACATACTCCGTGGAAAATGTCTGTTTTAGCAGTAAAATATTATTTCCCTGATGCTAAATCCCAACTGTTATCCATGTTTGTGATGAAAGCAACTTCACAGAGTGTATTATTTGACAGCATGGACCGTGTCCTGCTGTTTGCCAGCAGACATGAGCTGGCTCACCTTTGGAACCAGTCTGTGGCACAGGATTTCCTTCCCGGTTTTCCAGAGGGTGAGGCAGCACGGCTGACACAGTCACTTCAGGTTGTTTCTGCTGTTCTTTAATCATTGGAACTTTGTCTGCCTTCCAAACCATCGGGAAAAGGCAGTAGCTCCTGGCTTTTCCCCCTTTATCCGAGGGATGGACGACACTGAGAGCCAAGGCTGAGCACTAGGGCTAAAATATCCACCAGGCATCTGAGAGAACAGGCCTAGCAGCCAAATTCTTCACTCACACCTCCCTGGAGTTTCACTCAACAAGGAGAACTTTCTGTAGGAATGTAGAGAGGAGTTTGTCCCAAAACGATGACACTCGTGCTGTGGCAGGCAAGGGGTTGCTGGGTGGCAAAAGCACCACGAGGATTTGGGGGGGCAACTGAAAACACGACAGGAAGGAGGGTTTGAAATGGGCTCTTTTCTTTTTCCTGTCCCTTTTTCCCTGTGCCAAGCACAGGAATCAATACCTGTACTGAATATGAGTTTATTTTAATATCAAACCCCTCACTCGACTCCCATCACCTCTCCCAAGCATTAACACCACACTATGTATATGATAAAAGCCTTCATTTATAATAATATATTTAAGTTGCTTTATATATATATATATATATATATTCACAAGGGATTGCCTCTGTGTTTCCACTTTGTGTCCTTATTTCTTTGTCTCCTTCCCTAATCTATGGGAGGAGGGTGTATTTAGGCTCCCATATTCCAGCTGAAATCAGCTCCCATATTTCAGAGCAGGGTGTTGATTGGTGTCATGACCACATGGCTGATCCGTAGCTTCTCCCAGCGCTGCATTTCCCACAGCAAACTCTTCTTTTCCAACAGGACCACGAGCGACTATTTCTGTAAATAGGTATTTTCGTGTCGGTATTTTGTGGTACACATTGAACTTTTTGTTCTTTTCCAGCCCCATGGCATTATTCCTTCATTTCCTTATTTGTAATGTAATGTTTTTAGCTCAAGGTAGACTTGAATTAATGTCATATTTGTCAGTATTATTAAACTTTATGTCAACTGTCCTGTTAACTCATCTGTCCCATAGTTTGAGAACATGACTAGCTATCTGGCATTGTTGCAAGTGCCTTAAATCCATGGCATCTTATAAAAAAAAAAAATGACAAATTTGGTGTTATGCTGCATGACAAAGACAAACACACCTCAAACTGTCGTCCTTTCTTAGCTTGCTGCGTTTTACAGTTCTTTCTGCGACCGGTTTCTAAGCCTTTATTATCTAAAACTGACGAATTACAGAAATGATGAAGTCGTTCTCTTATTTCTGTTCAATGTACCAGAGCTGTGTATCTGTTAATGAGATACAGAGTCATTTCTGTGAAATGTATAAATGTTATGTGCGGGTCAAATTCCTCTCTGACATCCTAGCAGTCCGTAGACAGGTATTCCTGTTCCGCTGAGCCCTGCAGATCCCACCCGTCGTGCCGTCCCGTCTTACACGACCCCCCTCGAGGAATCTCCCACCTGGAAAAAAATCTACTCGCTGTGAACCCAGCCTGCCTTTTTTTTTTTTTTTTTTTTTTTTTACCCTAAAACCCCGAGGCAAAGGCGCAGCTCGTTTGCACCACTCAACAAAACAGTGCTTTCCCCTCCCCGATCCCCTCCGTCCTCAGCCACCGCCGGGACGAGCCCTCGGTGCTCCCGCGGAGCTGCCAAGCTGGAAGCTCCTCATCCGCAGCTCCCCAGCCCTGACACCGAGACTTGGGCGCCTTGAGGGCTTTCTCAGCAAAAGGGGAAATTCCCTCTCACCCCAACCCCGGCTTATGCTGGTTTTTACACCATCCCTTTGGTTTGTATCCTTATTTCCCCCAGCTTTCTTCTTCCACGGGAGAGGTTTTGTTTGTCGGACAGATGTCGGTCACCCCCCGCTCGGTGGCCGCTTGCACTCTTTTGATGTTGACTGAAGAACTTTGGGTTTTTTTCATAAACTTTAACTGCTTTTGTTTGGCTCTGTACTTTCCCTGCAGCTGTAATTGCCGAGTGCCTGTTGTATACTTTATAGAGTTGAAATAAAAATAATTACTTTTGAACAACGTGTCAGGGGTTTCCTTCCGCAGCCCAGGCTGAGTCTGGGAGAGTTCTGCTGCTCGGGGATTAAACTGGGGAGGTGGGGGTCCTGCTCTGGCCAGGTGAACATGGCTCATCCTCAGGGATGAAGAATTCCCTTTGTATTTTGAGTCCAGGGAAGGCACCGTGTTCCCAACACGAGTTGTGTCATCCCTGGAGAGGATGTGACTCAAAACAACACCGCTGTCAAAAAAACTGGTTGCCCAGAGAAGTGTCCAAGGCCAGGCTGGAGCAACCTGGGAGAGTGGAAGGTCGTGTCGAGTCCATGACACACAGGTGAGCAAAACCTGGGCAAAGGAGCAAGAAAACATCCTCCCAGGAGGGAAATAAATGTGGTAACTGCCTAAGGAGGAGCTGGGAAACATCCCAAACCGTTCTGCGGGGTGCAGCAATCGCAGGTCCAAGTTAATCAGGCAATAAAAACCGCGGGGTGACGTGGCCCTCACCTGAAACTGCCGGGGGAACACCGGGATTTCGGGGCGAGGCGTGGCCCTCCTTCTCCCAGGCTAAAAATAGGGAAGGCAGGGATGGCCGGGCTGTGCCGGGGGTGCCGTCCGTGACTCAGCCCCCCCCTCCCCGCTTCCGACGGCACCTGCCCGCGGTGCTCGCCGAAACCTTCCCAGGCAATTATTAGCCCGGCTGGAGCCATCTGGACCTGGAACAGCTGATAGGGAATACCGGGAGAGCGGGGCTTCATCGCAGGGAATTGCGGCGGCTGGAATTCACCCCCTCCTCGCCCCCGCGGGTTTTAGCCGGGTCGGGGCACCGCTCGGGCTCTTCGCCGGTATTTTCATTCAAACCACCCTCGGAAAATAAATAAGCAGGAGTGAGAGGCCGCCGCCGGGCAAAGCCGGGTTAATTAATTAACGGGGGTTAATTAGCGGCGCGGGGTGCAGCGCGATGCCCCGGCGGGGCCGGCAGGGGGAGCGCTGGGGACGCGCTGCCCCGACGGGGGCGGGTTGGGGGGTTTGGGGATATGGGGGGGCCTGGGGGAGGTTTGGGGAGGGATTGGGATTT